TCGATAGAAGGTAGACATTTGTCACCTTTGAATTTTAGGTGGGCTCATCTTTCTGTTTTTATTACTTTTTCTTGCTTAGATTTTTGTTGCATTTTGGTGAGGATTTGTGTTAAAATTTTGTACGAACAGGTGATCACATGATACCTGCGCACAGGTTTTGGTCTCAAGTTACTTGGAACATTGAAATAGAGGTAGCCAAAAAGAGAAATAAGAAAAAGGGGGGTCAGCATTTGGTTTTTAAGAGAGGATTTTGGGAAAATTTTACTAGAGCTTGAGTGGTGGTACAAGGTACGGCGAATCAAGAAGTCCCCATAACGAAGAGGGAAGAAGTCCCACCACCCAGACACTTGTCAACAGTCTTGGGACAGTGCCGAAGAAGTCTTAGGACAGAGCAGTCTGGGGACAGTCTTGGGACAGTACAGTCTTGGGACAGTGGTCTTGGGACAGGGTCTTGGGACAGGGTCTTGGGACAAGGGTCTTGGGACAGGGTCTTGGGACAAGGTCTTGGGACAAGGTCTTGGGACAAGGGTCTTGGGACAGGGTCTTGGGACAGGGTCTTGGGACAAGGTCTTGGGACGGGGTCTTGGGACAAGGTCTTGGGACAAGGGTCTTGGGACAGGGTCTTGGGACAAGGTCTTGGGACAGGGTCTTGGGACAGGGTCTTGGGACAAGGTCTTGGGACGGGGTCTTGGGACAAGGTCTTGGGACAGGGTCTTGGGACAAGGGTCTTGGGACAGGGTCTTGGGACAGGGTCTTGGGACAGGGTCTTGGGACACTAGTCTTGGGACAGTAGTCTTGGGACAGTAGTCTTGGGACACTAGTCTTGGGACACTAGTCTTGGGACACTAGTCTTGGGACACTAGTCTTGGGACACTAATCTTGGGACAGTAGTCTTGGGACAGTAGTCTTGGGACACTAGCCTTGGGACAGTAGTCTTGGACAAGAGTCTTGGGACACGGCCGGAAAGTACTGGGACGGTACCGAACAGTCTTGGGACAGGAGAAAGAAGCCTGGGACGGTACAAAGAAGAGTAGGGACGGCAATTGGAAGTCTTGGGACAGTGTAAAAAATTGAAGAAAAATTACAAGAAGTGTTTTAAGACAGAATTAAGATAGAACAAGACTAATTGGAACCAGGTACGGTTGAGACCACAAATAAGGAAAGTTTCTCGAAAAGTTAATAAAGAGAACTGAAATAAGGTTTTCACCACGTTGTATATATTTTTTTCTTCCTTCCCGAAAGATTTTATTCTTAGGATAGGATTGTGTATATAGTAAAATTGTAAATAAAAGCAATTGTAAATAGAAATAATGAGGCGGAGCAGGGTACCGGTAGCTGAAAAAAGACCTACCGAAGCAAAGTATAATTCGTCGCTACGCAAAACAACATCAATGGGCCCAAAGATAACAAAGAAGAACTTTTCAGTTAACATGGTCAGCACAAGGAGTACAGCGGAGAACAGAGCAAGAGAGGGCATGGAAGGGGAACGAGTAGAACCCACCATCGAGATTGATCTAGAGACACCTGATCAAAGTGTTGATGAAACAAGGAAAATAGCGACGGAGTCAACTCCAATGCCCAATGCAGAAGAACCAAACTCGAAACCCATAGAATTCTCACCAATAGACAACGTGGAAGATGCAATAGGCAACACCGAAGAAACGGTGAAAGAAGACTCTCAAGTAAAAAAGACATCTTTTACAGAAAGGTTGGCGATGATGGTCGGAATAAAAACGAAAGAGAACGTGACTGAAGAACCAAAAGCTGAAAGAGCACGAACATTTGGAACAGTGAGCACGAAGACGACAGAAGCCAATCCGAGAGAGGGACAAACTAGAGCAGAAGCGACGGCCGAAGAAAAACCGACAGCTGACCATGAAGAGGCTACTCTTGAGCTAGGTGACTTGATGGCGAAACTGAATCAGATCGACAAAAAGCTGAAGCACAGCGAAGAGGACAGAGAAGTGATAAGAAAAGAATTAAGATACAACAAAAACGAGTATCTGGATAGTTATTTTAACCTGGCCAAGGCAACAGAAGAGAGACTCAAGGAAATGTCAGATAATGTAGAAACCACCAATGAAGAACGAGATAAGAACATCAAAAAAGATTTGCAACAGTTAAAAAACCGATATGATGATGTCAACAGCCAATTAGGTAGCCTGGAAAAGAGAATGGACACAATGAGCGAAAATCAGGCCGAGAGTTCGTGTGCAATACAGGCGAAATTGGATGCAATCTTGAGTAATTCTACCTCACAAGAAAGACCGGCAGCGGATCGCGCGCAAGGCACCAGAGTTGACTTTGTGGAACCACAAAGGAACAAATGGCAATCGACACCGTTGCCCTTAACCCGGGATACGGTGAGCATAGCACCAATAGCTGCTAAAACAATCATGAAGAATGGAATGTCAAGTACAACGACTGGTCCGGGGGACTCAACAGCTAACAGCAACGCAGGTCCGGATGCTATGACATGGGCAAACACTTGGGAGATGATGAACAGGACTCTAGAGGCCTTCGCCACGAGGAACACTAACTCGAGCGATAGGAGAGATGGGAAATCAAGAAAAACATTCAAGAAGCCAAAAGAATTCAAAGACGACTCAGATGGATGCATTGACACGTGGGTGGAAGTGATGAGATTACATCTAGAGCAAGACAACTTGAACGATGAAAGACAAGCATGCACAGCCATACTCAGCAATTTAGAAGGCACAGCATTAAAATGCGTGGTTGCGAAGAAAGAAGAAGAACGCGATACCGCGGACAAGATCTTCGAGATATTGCTGAATCGATTCGGGTCAGGCATGAAGGGTCACCAAGCGATGATGCGATTTGAAAAGAGAAGGCAGAGGGACGACGAGTCAATAGATCGGTTCCTAGATGATCTCGAGAGCTTGAGAAGAAGGAGTGACCCAGAGGAGTCGACAAACAGAAGAAACTTTAGCATTGCCTCGAAGTTCATTGATGGGGTAAAAAGTGACGACTTAAGGACAATGTTAGCAACATACTACACATTGTCGAAAGACAGCGCACCAACCCCAGAAGAAATGAGACAGAAATCAAGGGAATACATGCTGATGAAACCCAAGAAATTCTCGTATTCAGAAAACAGGAACACACAAGGGGGAAATCAACCGCAGAGGTCGTCATGGTACAAACCTAGAGATGACATGGACAAGCGCAGATCATGCGCGAACTGCGGGTCGGCGGATCACCACGTGGCTGACTGCACAACATACAAACAAGGCATGAAGAGTCTAGGATATGCACCAGATGAGGAGGACATGAGCCAGATGGAGGAACACGAGTACTATAGTGGCTTAATCATCAAGATAGGCGCAAGATGCTTCTTCTGTAACCAGGAGGGGCACTTCCGAATGGATTGTCCCTTGTTCTGGGAAGCGGTCAAGGACCAGAGTCACCCTAAACATAAGTTGGCATTAGCGGCGGTGCAGAATCAGCGGAACAGGCAAAACGAATTTGAATCGAGGAACTTAGGAGCACCAAGCACGGAATTGCCGACGAAGACAGTGAAAGCTGTATCACATGTTAATGATGCCATAGAATCCGCGGCAGGGAACTCTCTAGAGATAAATTATGAGAAAGCGGCGACGGAAGCAATTGCCAAAGTGAAACAGGATCTGGCTGCGAAAGAAATAGAGCAACGACTAAAGCTGGAGATAGAAAGACAGAATTTTAACGAAGCATTAACTGGATCGAAACAAATACCAGAGGCTGTACCAGGCTCAACAAAGACCGGGAATTGCAAGACTGTGAAAATGGTGACAGGTAAACCTTTTGGCATATCGAAAATCGGGGCAAGGATAATGTCGATAATCACAGTGGGCGGCCACGAGGTAACCAGAAACTTGAGCGAGCCGAGCGACCAGACGATAATGCACATTGACGTGTATGCAGACTATTTGAGTGGTATAAGCCCACAAACGACTTCTAGAGCACTGAGAGCACTACTCATGAGAGGGGGCAGCAAGACGGTACGTGTTGATAGCAGATATACTGAAGCTTACGGTCCACACGAGGTGATGCTAAATATAGATGGGATTAACATCTATACCAAGACGATGATAACATGTGACGAAGACCTAACTGGACAAATCTACGTAGGGAAAGAAGAATTGAAAGTGAGATCGGTTGGACACTGCGCCATGCTTGAGGAAGATGCAATGCACATCGGGACGGAGGCAGATGTGACAGGGCACGTGCTGGACATAAGTGGCAAAAAGACTCAGTTGCGTGGGTTGCTTGACACGGGAGCAGTCTTGAGCGTTATACCAATCGAAACTTGGGAGAAGATGGGCTTTGACAAAGGTGACTTGATAGACTCGAGAATACGGCTGTCAGCTGCAAACAAAGGGGCCCTACGGGTGCTGGGCAGGACGCCGATAATAGCCCTCAATTTGGGGGAACGTAACCTGTGGATGAGCTTTATCGTGGTAGAAAACCTAGATGAACCTGACCAATTCATTTTGGGCAGAGACTTCATCAGGAGTTTCGACGTAACGATTGATTTAAATAACGCAATGTTCAGGATACGGAACCCGGATAGGAGGTACGCAATCAAACCGGTAAATTTAATAATGGTAAATGAAAACAAAGCACCGGTATTCTTGAGTAGGAGGGTGAGGCTAAAAGCTAATGAAGCGGCAATCGTAAGTTTGAGGATGAAAAATTACAATGAACTAAGTGACAACAAGCAAGTGTGCATAGTTCCGAATCCTAATAGTCAAAGTGCTGCTGTTTTAGGAAGATCATTTTCGATAACGAAGAGCGGCCTCTGCGTCAGTGTCTTGTTGAATACCCTTGATATACCGATCACGATACAGAGAGGGAGGAAACTGGGATATGCTTTACCGGTTAAAACTCGATATGAAACAATTGAGAACTCAAAACAAAATGAAGTTGTTGATTGTCCCAATCACAGGGACAAAATTTGTATCTTGAGACGATTGCAGAAAATAAAAGATTCTTCAGGTCTTATTAAATCACTTAAGTCAGAAACGGATGATGGTCTTTCGAGCTGTTCGAACTTTCCAGAGCGACCCACACTAGATGAAATGCAAAATGAAAAACCGGTTCTGCCGGAGATTGAACATTTGAGGGGCAAACTGAAAGATGAACAGCTCGAAGCCATCAAGGACGTACTAGAGCGGAACGAGGATGTTTTTTCGAGGCATAAGGCGGATATCGGGTGTTGCAATTTCGTTGAGCATGAAATAGAACTTGAGGAAAACGCGGTACCACACAGGGAGGGGGCGAGGCGCATGACCCCACACAAATCGGACGCGTGTAGAAAAGAGATCGAGACGTTACTAGAGTATGACATGATAGAACCATCCAAGTCACCGTGGGCGTGTGGAGTAGTGATGGCCAAAAAGAAAGGCGACCAGTTGAGGTTTTGTTGTGACTTTCGATACCTGAACTCCGTCACGGTGAAGGATGCCTATCCCATACCTAGGATTGATGAGAGCCTCTCGAAGTTAGGTGATGCAAAATTTTTTACGACTCTTGATTTAGGCTCAGCCTTTTGGCAAGTACCACTAAGGAAGCAGGACAGGGACAAGACAGGGTTTGCCTGCGAGTTGGGTCTGTTTCAATGGAAACGAATGCCGTTTGGACTTTGCAATGCCACAGCCACGTTTCAGCGGTTGATGGCACATAGGCTGATAGGCGTAACGAAGAAGTATGGCAACCTGGTAATGTGCTACGTGGATGACGTGGTAATAGCGACGCCAACACTGGAAGACCACATTGAGAGACTAGACGAAGTGTTTGCATGCATGAAGAGGTCGGGGCTAAAGTGTAAACCATCAAAGTGCGAGATACTCAAGGACTCAATAAAATACTTGGGCAGGATGGTAGACAAGCACGGCATCAGACCTGATACGGACGCCGTGGAAGCAGTCCTGACCTGGAAATCACCGAAGACAGAGCACCAGTTGATGAGCTTCCTGGGTTTCGCTAACTATTATAGAGAGTTCATCAAAGGCTATGCAGACAAGGTATACCCGATGCAACAATTAATGAGACACAAGGGCAAGAAGTTCACGTGGAACAACGCAGCAGAAGAGTCATTCCAGAGGATAAAGAAAGAGCTATGTGAGGCACCAGTACTGGGTATGCCGACTGAGAAAGGGATGTACGTGCTGGACACGGATGCGTCGGTAGTCGCGATTTCTGGGATTCTCCACCAAGAACAAGAATGGAATGGGAAGACAGTCTTGAGACCAATAGCGTACGGGAGCAAAGTCCTGAGTGACACGGAAATGAAGTACGGAGCACCGAAAGCTGAGATGTTCGCGGTGGTTACCTTTGTCGAGAAATACAGGGCATACTTGGGCAGTGAACCATTCAAGTTGCGAGTCGACAATAGAGCACTGAGCTGGCTGAAAACGTACTCAATGGACCAAAGTTACATTGGGAGGTGGATAGTTCGCCTGGACGGATACAACATGATAATTGAGCATAGAACGCGAGATAAACATCAGAATGCCGACAGCTTGAGTAAGAAGACGGAGTTCTATGAGAGACAAGAGCAAAGAGAAGCAGACAGACCTGAAATCAAAGATGGCTTCTCATTCATGGACAAGGAAACGTACGACAGTCTTCCACTCACGAGATGGCTGGACAAGTCAGGCAAACCGATAGAAGATCATCCTGAATTGCCTAAAGAGCCTCCAGAGAAGACCATCTTGAGGAAGAGCAAGAGGATTCCGATTGAGATTATACTCAAGTCGAAGATCGTGAAGGAGACGCTCAAGGCAAAAGGCTATGATCTTAACCAGGTGGAAGCAGGAACTGCACAGATAGATGATGACTTAATGAGGTTGCTCGAGAAACTATCAGATGATAAGCCCGTGATCCAGGAGAAGGGTCAAGAGAAACCGGAATTCACTATACTTCGGAGAAAAGAGACAGTGAACGATACTGACTCATCAAGAGGAAGCGTCACTGACAGCAAAGATGTCGTGCGGTCACTAGTTGACAAAATCCCCGAAGACATTCTGGAGCAGACCAGGGTCAGGAAAAAGAAAGTGACGTTCAAGGAAGATACTGAACACCTGGGACCAGGTCAAGAGTCCGGGGAGTGTTCCAGGTTCACGGAAGAAGGAACCGGAGAAGGAAAATTGTCCGGGGAGCGTGAAGGATGGGATGAAGACTCGGATGAGAGCAGCGAAAACCAGGACAGTCTGTGCATGATACTGGCGGAAGAGAAGACAAGGCACCACGACAGGGAGTTACAGACGGATCCATCATCAGGAACGTACAATCTGGAGATACAGGAGATACGAGGTGGTGAGGAACTTGAGAGAATTGCGGTTTCAAGGAAGCCATACAGAGAACTATCATGCAACTCAAACGTCAGAACAAATCTGGTGCCAGAAGATGATATGAAAATCGTGAAAAGGATGATATGCGTGAAGCTGAGTGATGACATCCACAAACCTGGTGAGATGAATGGACAGATCATGGCGCTAAAGGAGCATGTCAAGGCAAGATATAGGCTGTCAGACCTAATAAGAGCCCAAAAGAATGACAAAATGACAAGTAACCTCTGCAAATGGATCCAGTCGGGGGTCAAGGAGAAGGGGGAACTCGAGGAAGACAGCTACAAGATCTTGAGCCAGTTCTACAAAGAGAAAAAAGACTTACTCTACCACACAGCTGATGGGGTGGTAGCATGCAAGAGGAAAGATGAGGAGAAGATATTACACAAACACAACCTCATCATACTGCCACAGTTGTATCAAACGGAGGTGCTTTTCAGATCGCACGACCAGATGGGCCACCAGGGGATAGACAAAGTACAACAAAGGATACCTCACAGGTTTGATTGGCCAGGAATGAGAAAAGCTTGCGAGAGATGGGTGAATGCCTGCCTGGCATGTCTCCAGGTAAAAGACCCAAGGAAGATGAAGTTTCCCCTCAAGTCCGTTGAGAGCTCAGAGTTCAATGAAGTGGTGCAGATAGACCATCAAAAAATCTGCATGACGGAGTCGGGATATAACCAGATACTGGTTATAATAGATCACTTCACAAAGTTGGCGGAAGCGGTCCCGTGCCAAACAGCCTCGGCCGAGGAGACATGTGATCATCTGATAACGCATTGGATATCGCGGTATGGTTGTCCAATGACTTTCCAGTCGGACAACGGCAAAGCTTTTGTAGGGGACTTGACAAAAGAATTGATGAAGAGATCGCACATTGCTCAAGCACACTCGACAACCTATCATCCACAGACCAATGGGTTGGTAGAGAGACAAAACAGGACACTGGTCAACATGTTAAGGGTGTACTGCTCAAGATACATGACGGACTGGGACAAATACCTGCCACAGGTAGTAGGAGCCTACAACAGTACACAGCACTCAACTACGGGCATCAGTCCTTTCATGATGTTGACGGGCAGGGAGAGAGCAATGCCTCTGACATTCTTTTACCCGGAATACGAAGGGAAAAGGACGTCGCCCCAGGCATACGTGAAAGAAGCGATCAAAAGACAACAGGAATTGAACGAGCTATGCAGGAGGAACACGGCGCAAGCGCAAATGAGGCAACGCAGGAAATACGACGAAAAAATATTACGAGCAAAGCCATATGAAGTGGGCCAATACGTGTGGGTCTTCCAAAATGTCATACCGCCCAAGGGAACAAAGAAACTACTCAAGAAGTGGAGGGGACCATTCATGATAACGGAGGTTCATCAACAAGGACGGTTCTACCGCTTGAGTACTGGGCGAGCGGCACATTATGAAAATCTGAAGCCTCACGTCCCGTCTCCAGAGGATTGGTGCATACCGAAGGACATGGAGGGTCTTGAGTACCTGGTGGTAGAGCCAGCGTGTGAAGTGAATGAGAAAGGCACTAGAGAGAAAAATGATGGTAATGAGAACTTGAGTTTGGACGACAATGAAAAGATAGGAGTGGAGTCTGATGCAGGATCATTTGTAGAAGAAGACTGGAACGACCCGGAGCAAGACGAGGTGCCGAAATGGATGGAACCGGATCGAACAACACCACCGGAAACCAGGACTGGCAATCGCAAACGCACAGGCATGAGGTACAACAGGTACGGGGATGACTTCTTGATCGATAAGATACAGCCAGACAAATTGGGCGAGGAATTACTGAAGGCAGGCGAACTGGAAGCTGGAGAGGAATGGCAGGTCATTGACGATGGTGGTCATTATCCGCAGGATGATTACTCGACGCCAGAAGTAGAAACGGATCTCGAACAGAGTGAGATAGAGAGGAGGGAGAACACGAACTTGAGGATTCTAGAGTGGATGCGTGAGGTCAAAGACGAGAGCCGCGAAGGACAAAGCATTCAGCAAGTCGATGTATCAGCAGCAAATTACATGAAGACAGAGGACCCTCTTTTCGGATGGACGGCAACAGACAGGCCACTGGACATTCCTCAGGACAATTCAGACCCGACAACATCGACGGGGACGTCGATAAATATTTTTGTCCGGGGAGTGGGGGTAGGACTTACCCACGCCGAAAAATTGATGATAAAGAAGCTCAAGGAAGTGAGAGAAACGAGCGAATTGGAACTGGAGGAAGAAGAGCCAGAGCCTACTATAGGTCGGAATTTCAAAACGAAATTCGAAATACCCAATGAATACTCGGAGAACATCATGATAACAGATAGCGACTTCATCCTGTCAAACAGGACCAGCGCGATCTGCATCACGGCGGACATGAGTTTCAAATCAAGATTGGAAGCTGACTTCAAAAGAGAGTACCAGAATGTAGAGTTTCTGTTCAGACAGAGACCAGGACTGGGAGGGATGGCAGCGCTTCCACCGTCAGTGGCACAAGTCCCGGGCAAATATCTGTGCTTCCTAGTAACGAGGGTCAATGACAGGAACACAATCGATCCCGAACACGTGATATTGGCACTAACAAGATTACGAGACTTCATGATTGAAAGAGGGATAACAGAAGTCTCAATGCCAGTGTATGACCCGAACAGGGGCAAA